AGAAATCCCAGCTCTACTAAAAATACAAAATTAGCAGGGCGTGCTGGCCAATGCCTGTAATCCCAGCTACTCAGGAGGCTGAGGCAGGAGAATCCCTTGAGCCTGGGAGGCAGAGGTTGCAGTGAGCCGAGATTGCGCCATTGCACTCCAGCCTGGGCAACAGGAGCGAAACTCTGTCTCAAAAAAAAAATCTGTTTAAAAGGGAGTCAAGAGAGGAGAGGATGGAGTAGATCTGCAGGGTCAAAGAGTAGCTTTCGTTCCTGGATTGAGCTAGCTTACGCGAGTTTCTGTACCTCACAACCAGAACTGTGTTGACTGGAACAGTATGAAATCAAGAGTGAGAAAATCAGGGCCAACGTCCTTCCCTGAGGAGCCACATACATCAGTCTGGTCTCTCTTCCATGCAAATTCATAAGACTTTCAGGCTGGAAAGACCATAGAGAGCAACATCAGGCTGATATTTTCTGGGCAGTTAAGGTAAGCCAGGTGCTTTTCATGAACTATTTTTGAGCTAGGACACAACAATTGTAATGTTATCTTCATTTTACAGATGAGTGAAAACATAGGTTAAGAAACCTGCCCTCAGTCACATAGTGTGGTAACTCAATGACAGAAATGGCCACCATTATTTGCCGTTCCTGTAACCTCATCCTTTGCGATGTGACTTTGCAGCTGCTTTCAAGAGGTGGGATCAAGCCGAAAATGGCAGTGCATGCCTGTAGTCCTAGCTACTCGGGAGGCTGAGGCGGTAGGATGCCTTGAGCCCAGGAGTTCAAGGCTGCAGTGAGCTGTGATTGTGCCACTGCACTTCAGCCTGGGCGACAGCAAGACCCTGTCTCTCTCTCTCTAAAAAAAAAAAAGCAGGTGGAATCAGGGCTTGCTCTGTGATTGGCCTTGGTCAGCAAAATGTGGCAGAAACGACAGTTATGTCAGCTCTGAGCCTAGGCTTCAAGAGACCTTAAAGGCTGCTTCTGGCTTTCTTGGAACCCTGTGGTTGCTTATGAATGAGTCCAGGCTATTCTACTGGAAGATGAGACATGTGGCCCAGTTCCCGCTGTGATCAACAGCCAGCCATCCACTGAAGGTGTGGCCGAAGCCGTCCTGCATAAGCCAGTCCCTGGACATATGAATGCAGCTGTCCTAGACCAGGCAGCCCCCAGACAGCCCACCTGCTGACCACAGACGCCTGAGCAAGTCCAGCTGAGATCAGCCAAACCTGCTCCAGTTCAGAACCATCCAGATGAGCAGACTCACCCAGCTGACCCACAGACCTCTGAGGTAAATAATTGCTTCATTTTTTAAGCCACTAAATTTTGATGGGTTTGTACTTCCTGATACAGTTAGCAAGTGGCAGAGAATCTGGGATTTGACAGTGACCATCTGACTTCAATGACAGTGAAAGGTCTCAAATCCAGTGCACACTGCAGCTTGGCTAATGCAATGCCTTCTTTCTTAGAAGCGGTGTCTGTAACATCTTTATTAGGATTTAGGACTGGTCAGGATGGATTCAAAATCCAGCTTACTTATCCTGGGTAGCTTAATGTCTCCAAACTTTAGCTTCCTCATATGTTAACTGCAAACAATACCCACTATCTCACAGAGATACCAGGAGGATATAATGGGATAACATATCCAAAGTGCTCTGAGTTTAATGACCTTTCCTAGAATATGGAAAGTCTGCAATGGGTCCGAAAGTTCTTAATGACTGAAGGCATTTCCTTCCCAGTGTTGATGTCCATGTAACTGACAATTTTAGGAAGAGTATCTCTTCTCAGAGTTTTTGTAGTTTGTAACCCTTAGTTATTTCTATAAGAAATTTTTCCTTAATTATAAGCATTTGTTTAGACAAGTATTTCTCAAAGTCTGCAGCTGCATGTCAAATGTAGATTCATGACCTCATCCCAGACCCACTGAATTAGACTCTCCCAGGAGTGGGGTCTGAGAATCTATTTTTAAAGAAAGTTCTCCATAATTTTCATGAACGTTAAAATTTAAGGACTGCTACTTAGATTTCTCTGTAAAGACTGAAACACAGTGAATTATTGCATTTTCTCACTCTAGTGTTGTTTTCTGGTGGGTTATTCGTATGCTAAGTTTTTAGGTTAAAAAATATATACTGCCACTTTTTCCTTAGAAGTCATGCTGATATAGCCACCAAGGTTTTTATGATTGTTTGTTTTGAGATGGAGTCTTGCTCTGTCACCCGGGCTGGAGTGCAGTGGTGCAATCTTCTTGGCTCACTGCAATCTCCGCCTCCCGGGTTCAAGCGATTCTCCTGCCTCAGCCTTCTGAGTAGCTGGGACTATAGGCGCACGCCACCATGCTCAGCTAATTTTTGTATTTTTAGTAGAGACAGGGTTTCACCATGTTGGCCAGGATGGTCTCGATCTCCTGACCTTGTAATCCACCTGCCTCAGCCTCCCAAAGTGCTGGGATTACAGGCATGAGGCACCCTGCCTGGCCAAGACACTAAGTTTTGGTGGATATAGAGTTACACGCCAATGAATGAATCAACCCAGATGACACTATGATTAAAATATAAAGTGTATCAATGTGTTACTCTTTAAATGAATACTGGAAAATCAGTTTTCTTCTCTGTTTTCCTTGTTTTGCATCTATAGTCCTGTAGTCCTATATATGGTCCTATGCTAGAAGTAGAGGGAAAGAGTGGAGGGAAGGAATTTTACAAGTACCAAGAATATTGACTTGTTTTTACTGTTGTTATTACCAGTAACATTATTATTTTCACAGAGCAAGCACTAAGAGAAACAGGAAATGGCTTGACCCCCAAACTGACTTAGAAAGTTTGTTCAGCCTGAATTAGTTTTAGCAGGAACATTTTTGTTCACCTTCGAATGTAGAGAAAATGGTGGAAGCACTTCACTAGGGCTAAATTCTTAAGTCCGCCTAACTATAGTCAAAAGTTTAAAGTGTCTTAGTTTGATGTCTTTTTTGACTGTTCTATTTCATGGTATCATGTTTTTAAAAAGACTTTTTCACAAAAAGTAGAAAAAGGAAAAATAATAACAGAAGGGAGCTACTACAAAAAGTGCTGTTGGAAGCCGATTCCTCTTCAGATGACACCAGAGCTTAGAACTTTTTATCCAAAGCTCTTCATTTCCTACCAATATTTTTTTTCACTGTTCCAAAGGTGGAAGAGGCTCTGAATAGCAAAAGTGCTGTGCTTTTTAAAACCTGCTGAACAACTTCTATCTCTAAGAGTACTGAAGTTTTGCCATACCAGTTTGAGTATGACAAACTGCAAAACATATGCATAAAAAAATCTAGACTATTCTAATTGTGCCAATCCATGGTTTAAAAAAAAAAAAAAAAACTTCTGGAGCCACGCAGCTGTTAAAATCCATCATATTTACAATTTTTATAAATGAATTTATTTTAATAAAAACAAGTTACTCTGTGAGGCTGATCTCTAAGCAGATTTATGTGGGCTGGCACAATCTGCTATGCTAAACATATATTCATATTGCTTAAGTCTGCAACCAGTTTTTTTTTTGTTTTTTTTTTTGAGTGGTGATAACAGTCTTGCTTTGTAGAAGGATACCAAGTAATTGGCAGCAATTCAGCTAAGGATATTGTTCTCAGCACTGTGTTTTCTTGGACAGAATTGCCCTGTGGGCATGACCCAAAACTCGGAGAATTCTGGGCTGCTGGCATTGGGCAGTGAACCAGGGAGACAGCTTATAGGGAGGAGGAGTGACTCTATAAACTAGTGCTAAAGAAGAGGAGGAGGAAGAAGAAAGCAAGGGAGGAAGTGGGGGTAAAATGTGAAGTTGCAGTCAACGGCTCCACATCCCTAAAGGGGTCTCTTCTTACCTTTCACTTGAGACAACTTTATGCTACTCTTTTTGCTTGGCCACTAGGTTGTACATTCCTGGAAGACAGGAATGTTGCCTAACTCAGCCATACATCTCCCACAGTGCCTGGCATACACTGGCACACACAAAAACTAGTTATCGGCCAGGTGCAGTGGCTCACGCCTGTAATCCCAGCACTTTGGGAGGCTGAGGGCAGATCACGAGGTCAGGAGTTCAAGACCAGCCTGACCAACATGGTGAAACCCCATTTGTACTAAAAATACAAAAATTAGCCGGGCATGGTGGCGCATGCCTGTAATCCCAGCTACTCAAGAGGCTGAGGCAGAAGAATGGCTTGAACCCGGGACGCAGAGGTTGCAGTGAGCCAAAATCATGCCACTGCACTCCAGCCTGGGAGATAGAGCAAGACTCCGTCTCAAACAAACAAACAAACAAACAAACAAAAACGAACAAAAGAAAACTTGTCATTAAATGTGTAGACAAAAGAATGAATTTCTCTATTTGAAGCATTTCCAGACCCTTCCTTGGTCTAAAGAGGTTCCCAGTGAGGGCAGTACTGCCCCTTGGGGGCGTACTGAAGTTTTGCGGGGGCAGTTTTTGTTTTGCATTGTATTGGTGGCAGAGTATTCGCATTGTGAAAACTCTGTTATTTTAATTTTTTTCTTGATATTAGTATATATTTTATTATAAACTACTTCCTATTTTTTCACCTTTATTAGAACATTACATTGGTTTCTCGAAATTATTTGTAGAGATAGTATGCATTAGGAATTTAATTCCAGAGGAGTAAAGCAGTGTTGTATTTTTTGTTGTAAACACAGGGCGTGAAATGTGGCAGGGTTGAATACCTTTGCTTATAAGATTAAGCCTCATCCTACACAAGTTTTAGGATTCTAAGATGAAGCCTATAAATAAAAAGAACATTGTAGAACACTGATTTCAACAGATTCCACGGCAGGCGCGGTGTCTCACTCCTGTAATCCCAACACTCTGGGAGGCCGAGGCTGGCGGATCACTTGAGGTTAGGAGTTCGAGACCAGCCTGGCCAACATGGTGAAACCATCTCTACTAAAAATGCAAAAATTAGCCCAGCGTCAGGTGATGGAAGCCTGTAATCCCAGCTACTCGGGAGGCTGAGGCAGAAGAAACGCTTGAACCCGGGAGGCGGAGGTTGCTGTGAGCCGAGATCGCGCCATCGCACTCCAGCCTGAGCGACAGCGTGAGACTCCGTCTCAAAAAAAAAAAAAAATCATATTTCCACTTGAAACAACTGCATCTTTTAGGATTAATGTGGCTCAGCGGAGCTCTGCACAAAGGGTCCGCGACTGGGATGGGGGTGGGGAGTGAACGTCAAGGGGCCCAGGAGCGCTCGAGCGTCCAGGGCCCGGCGTGTGGAGCGGCTGGAGGGTGAGCTGCCGCTCTCCGCTTTGGTTCTGTTCCTCCTCGTTCTGACGGCAGTGCGGGGGAAAGAGAAAGTGAGTGGAGAGGGGCGGCGACGCCGGGCGGTGTTCCCGAAAGCCCGGGCACTCGCTGACCCCGCTGCAGGGCTGGTTCCCTGGAAGCCGTCGAGATGTGAAGCCCCCGACTCGGAAAGAAGTCTCGGGAAGAGAGAGCGGCTGTTCGAGGGGAGGAGGGCGGCTGAGGGACAGAGGGCGGCTCCGCCTTACCCGGCGGTTCCAAGTGCGGCTGAACTGAACTTTCGGTGTCAGCGGGTGGAGCTGCGGCCCGCGGAGGAGCGAGGAGAGGTGGAGCTACCGCTGACAAGGGGCGCGGCGACATCTGTCAGGGCACGGGGCTCCCAGCCGGACTCGCGGCGGTCTCCGAGGGGCGGGGCTTCCGCCCAAAGGGGCGGGGCCTGGGTCGTGTCTCCCCTGGGGATGGGCGTGTGATGACAAGGGGCGTTTCAGTAGAAGCCAGAATGCTTACCTCTCACGATCCAGCAGTGACATTAGGAAGGCAGAGCGCAAGGAAGGCGGGGCTGCCTTCTGTGCTGACCCGAGAGAAGACTAGGCTTCCGTCGACAGTGGGCGGAGCGGTCGCTGGCACAGGGCGGGGCCGTTTCGAGCCCTGGGAAGGCGGGGCTTCTCCTGACAGAGGGCGGAGCTTCCGCAGCCTGGGGCGGGGCTTCTGTTGACAGGGGGGCGGGGCGGCTCCCTACCTCCCGCGGTGCGCCAATCCCCGGACTAGGGGCCGGGGTCGGACCCCAGTGGAGTAGCAGGGTCTGGGCGTGGAGAGCCCGGCGCCGTACGGGGTGGGGGCGCGCGGAGGACGCGCGCGCGGGAGGGCCCCTCCTTGACCGGCTCTCTCCCCTCCCCCTCCGCCCCCGACGGCCGCTGGGGCGCGCGCCTCTCCTCGCACCCCCACCCTGGGTCCCCACGCTCTCCGGGGCCACCGAGCTGCTGAGGCCCCTTTGCGGGCCCGCCGAGCGGTTCCGGGTTTAGGGTTCACAGGTCAGAGTTGACTCCCTGAAAAGTGCAGCCGGTTTGAAATGCAAGATGGCGGCGGCGTGGCGCTGAGAGGCGCGGCGGCCCCTGCAGGTAGTGGCGTGAGCCGGCCCCGCGACCAGCGGGCCTGGAGACTCTGGGCTGCGGGTGGGAACCGGAGCGCAGAGTCCGCGGCCGGCACGGGAAAGGCGAGTGGCGCGGGGCCCGGCGGGAGGAGGGTGGCCTCACAGCAGAGACCCCTGGGGCTGAGCCCGCTCGCGGCGGCGGGTGGCGTGGTGGACCCGGCGCGGGGCGTCCGAGGGGGACGGACGGGGCCTGCCTCGCGGCTGGGCAGTCGCCGCAGAGGGACAGATAGACCCACAGCCTCCCTCGCTCTGTTTGGGTGTCTCCGCCACCGAAAGAGCTTGAGGGCGGGGGGCTCTCTGGAGGGAAAATCTCAGCCCCGTGCCTTGGTGAGGACTGAGCAACTTAGGATTGTTGAGGGGAGTGAAGACTGCGTATTCCCAGCGGAGGGCGCCGCCGGAGGGAGCACCCCAGTGATGTTGGGAGTCCTAGAGGAGGTCGGGAGCGCTGTCCTCCGGGGGCGTGTGGCTACTTCGTGGGGACTCAGTCTCCCTGAGGGTAAGGAGAGATTCTCTTGCTGGAGCTGAGCGCACTGACTGAGGTTGGAGCCCGAGCAAACCCTTCGGGAGAAGTCCTTACCTCCAGTTCAAGGAAGGCTGTGCGCACCCGTTTTGGGGCCAGGCCATGTCCCAACTTTGGGGAAGACTGGGAGTTGAGTCTTTAAGAACCATATTACGATTGTGAGGAAGCCCTGGGATTTAGGGAGAAGTTAATTAAAGAGGATGGTAGGGGCGTGGGGGTGTGGGGGCTGACCCATGGGAATCCTCCAAGCCTTAGGGCCCACAGTGAACAATCTACTAATTCCTCAAGGGGAATAAAAGGCCGGGAAGGAGAGGTTTGAGAGGAACAAGGTCTAAGGGCAGGAAAGAAGAGCCCTGGCAGATGCCCTTTCCTTATATATTTACACCAAAGTTGGAGGTAAAGGGACTTGGCAATTCTTTGTTTTAGTACCTTTCCTGTCCTCTCTCCTCCGTGGGTAACTGTAAGGAAAGAGCATAGCCCCTGAGAAGGAAAAGATTCCATTTGATATCCTTAGGTTAGTGAAGGATCCAGCAGCTGGGAAGGCGTCAATGAGAAACAGCAGGCAGGGGAATTAGAACAGGGACTAGGGATGAGAAAAGAGAAATACAGGGACGATATCGGACAGCAGGAATTCCACAGCCCTTTCTGTCAACTCAACCCAGCTATTAGGAAAAAAAAAAATGCGAAGAGATAATCTTTGAGAGAAAAAGGTAAGAAAAGGCTGAGAGAGAAGTTGTGATGTGATTAGGCTGGGATTCCATGTAACTTAAGCAATTCTCTTGGCGGTTAATGTGATAGCAGAAAAAGGAAAATAACAAAATTGGAAAATATACAGCGGTTCACGGTTAGGGAGGAAGAAGCAGTTTTCCCCTAGGAACAGTTAATATTTGGTTTGGGGTGTGTGTGTGTGTGTTGTGTGTATACATATATAAGAGCACTTTAGATTTGTTGGTATTGGTCATTGTTTCTCAGTCTTTGTCTGAAAGCTTTAATTTATGTTATATGGTGCTACATTAATTATCTTTGTTTATGAAAAATTATTCTGAAAAAGTCATTCGTTTTTTTGTTGGGAGTGAAGGTGAGCAGGAGTTGGTTTTAACAGGGAAATTGACCCTAGTATACCCATTGATTATTTTAATTTCTAAAGTAGCAATTCTGACTCCTGATTTTTAAGCAAAAGAAATTGACAGTAATGCGGTAACAGGACATAAAAGAAAAAGGGCTTTCATGAATATTTTTTTTCCTTTTAGTTTTTCTCTCCTTTCCCAAAGCATTTCAGGGCTAAGCAGACTAATTTTATACAAAGTAAAATGTATAATCGTGGACCTTTTCGATGCAAAATGATAGCATTTCAGTTACCAATGAATCTTTTTTGTTGAAGTACCTCTTCAGATTCCTTATTTAACAATCAGGATTAAAATGAGAAATAAAGAGTAATACTTGGGTAACTGATGATAGTGATGATTCATAGAGATTTCTTGAACCATTCTTGTAATTTCAAAAGAACTTTAACGTCTTCAGTGGAAATGTTTTAAAGAGAGTTCAAGTATAAACTAGTTTAGAACTTCACATTTGGAACATTGTATGCATGTATGCTGTTCTTTGGTTTCCTCAGTGTGCATGTAGCTCTAGTTTTATATTCAATTCTGAACAGATTAGGCTGGGTGAACCAGAGAGGCATTAATGCCAGATGGTTTGAAAATATGCTAAAGCCAAAAACATAAATGTGTCTGTGCTAGTGAACACTCATTAGTACATTTCTTTCCTTTATAGCTAAGCTTATTATTTCACTGGATTTGGGAGGTAGTTCATGCATGATGTAGCAATTATTTCACCTTTAATGATAATCGTAAGTTCTTTTTTTTTTTCAATAAATGGGGACAAAGTTTTACAGTTATTAGCAAAACTAATAGCATAGGAGAGGTGGTTAATTTTGAAGATTTTTCTCCCTTTTGTATTATATTAAGATGGAAAGGTTACATTATGATGTATTATATTTCTTATGCTAATTAAGCATAAAATGTGACATTTGAGACTTAGTTTGCTGTAAATTATAACTTAATACTTAAATGAAAATGCTTTTAAAATTATTAAAGTGATCACAAATGTTGCTGAGGAAATAACCCTTTTATTTGTGTTGCAGCATTGTGGATTTGGGCCCAAAAGACTTTACTTAAATTAACAGTGTTGAAAGTTCAGCATCTAGTTTTTAATCTAATATCATAGTCAATGCAATTATTCAGAGAGATTTTTAGAATTATCTATTGTACTGTTTATGGTGCTTGCCAGTAATACACATTTTTTAAACCATTGTAAGTATTTATTTATGTTGTGATAAGCATATTTACTGTTAAGACTAAATTTTTTGAACTTAAAATCCTTTTAAATAATCATACGTATTTTCAAAAGTAAGTTATATTTCTGTTTTTGAAACTGCTACTGTCTTCAGAATAAGAGTCAATGTTTCTATACTACTACTGATAAATTTTATTGTATCCTTGTTGCTCTGATATATTTGTAGTCATGAATAACCAGATTTGCATGACTGAAGTTGCTGACTTAGATTATTAATCAGAATATACATTGAGTTTACATTCTGGAGATCTGCATTTTATACAGGATATTCTTAAAGTAAATAGTAATATGTAAATTTTTAGGTAGTTGCCAGGTTTTGATCTTAAAAGGTACTTAATCTTGGCATTTTATACAATTGGTTTCCAATTTAAGAGGTAAGACTGTATACCTTTGGTCTAAACAAATATGATGACATACTTTGGAAAATAAGTATACATGAGCAGTTTAAGAATGATGTTTAGTCAAGGGAGCCAATTTTTTTTTTTTTTTTTTTTTTTTTTTTTTGAGATAGGGTCTCATTCTGTGGCCCAGGCTGGAATGCAGTGGCATAATCATGGCTCACTGCACCCTCAATCTCCTACGCTCAAGCAATCCTCTCTCCTCAGCCTCTCGAGTAGCTAGGACTACAGTCATGTGTCACCCACACCCGGCTAATTTTTAATTTTTTTTTGGTAGAGATAAGGTCTTGCTGTGTTGCCCCAGCTGGTCTCAAACTCCTGGCCTCAAGCAGTCCTCCACTTTGGCCTCCCAAAATACTGGGAGTACAGGCGTGAGCCACTGCACTCAGCTAAATAAATAATTTTTAATGCAAGATTTTAATGTTCAGTTCTTAGTTTTAGATTTAAAAAAAAATCAGAATTTATCTTAACAAAATTAAAATATTGAAGTCATAGCCATATCATATATTATTGTAAATAAAATAACTCTTTCATTAAATTTTGGCGATTTCCTATTTCTCAAGATTTCTAATCCTTTTTCCCCTTCTTAAAAGTTTTTCTTTTCCTTTTTTGTTTTTTAGTGAGAAATGAAAGAAGATAGGAGGTTCTGATATTTCTAAGCACTTAACTCATAATTATGTTTTTCTTCTATCCTAAGTTTATTCTCTTTTACAATCCAATATTCTTAAAAGGAAGTTTGTTAAAACTTTGCTAGACATGGGCTGTACTTGGGAGTGGGGAGGATCATGAGAACAATTTCTGCTCGTTACTATGATAAAATTACTTACATCAGATGTTTGCTAGTTCTATGAAATACCCTTTAAATATGTCATACAGTAATGATTCATTTTGAAGCTAAGGTCAGAAAATGTTTGTGGGGGAGAGGTTAAATTTGATTGATTAATACCTGCCTATTGAAGCCAACTTGTTCCAGCATGATTTAATATGCTCAAAGGTACGAAATGGCAAATACATTTTGCTGGTTGGTTGTTACCCAGATTCTGAAAGTATTTTATCACTTGTCAACAGTTAGCAAATTTTAAACAAAGATTTCTTTGCTAACATTCATTGTGTTCTAAGTACCAAGAAGTATTCCAGAAACTTTACATGTGTTACCTATTTCAATTCTCACAACAACCCTATTAAGTAAGTAGTATCCTGTTAATATTACTAGCCCCATTTGTAGATGACAGGGCTGAGGCACAAATAGGCTAAGCCATTTGTCTAAAGTCACACAGCTAGTAAGTGGCAGTGCTGGATTTGAACCCAGTCTGTTCCAAATTTTTCAGGCTCTTGGTCTTTTTTTGTAATCCATCTACTACCAGAACAGCTTGTTCTGTTTTATTATATAATGTATATAGCTGAGATGAGCTCTTTAATTTTTGGA